ATTTCACAAACTTCAGTCACAGTTTTACCCAGTTCCACGCTGAACTTTCCGTGTGACCCTCCTGCAATAAAGGACACATTGTCCACATAACAAAGCACACCGAACTATACGTGATGCGCTGTACGAGCACTAGCACCAGACGACGTCATTTGCTGCACTGAAATGCATATAAGGAAGGAAGCAGCTAAAGGGAGAACGCAGGGAGGTTACCGAAAAAGGCATCCAGTTGGCTACCCTGCACTGGGTGCTTAGAGAAGGCAGCAAGAAAGATGAGAAAGAGGGAAGTGAAGGAAACGAAAAGGGGGATAAAGAGTGTAAATTCACTGTAGCATGTAGAACTCCACCGCAAATCTGAGGCATTTACACAGACTCATTGATCCGAATAAACACAACAGGGCGTTCATTGGCCTAAGGGCTGTCTAGATATGTGGACGGTGCAGTAATGACACTGGCACAGAAAGTGGAGGATCATCCAGTCACCGAAATCCGTTGACATGTACTTGCCTCTTTGAGGCAAATGGAGGACAGTAGCACAGCAGATATTTTCATCGGTGCCACAAGCATTGCATGCCACACTGTCAGACAATCAAGTTAAGCAGGTATGTGCTTTCGTGAAAGCAACTCCCAGCAAGAGCGATAGAGAAGTGAAGCTTCACGTCGATGTAGGCCGGGTGTATACCAGAGGCTTAGTGGAGGGTGAAGTTCACGTACGGTGCTCTGGTACGTTGTATGCTTGGTGTGTTCCACTCAGTTAGCGTGACATTGTAGGCCAGCCGATGAATCTGCCTCGCAGCGTCTGCTCTTGAAAGTGGAATTGGAACGCTGTTTGCTTTCTGATGTGACACGCCAGCAGCACAATTTGTAAAATTATTCCTGCTGATACCACAATGCGCAGGTAACCTTTGAAAGACGATGTCGAGAACTCTTTGTATTCCGAGATGGTGAAGCTTCACGGTATCGTAGGTCAACTGGTCGTTGGGAAATGCTTAAGACCGAACCACTTTTTTAAACCATTGAAGCTCTCCAGGTGTCTTATTGCCGCGGAACTAAATGCTCTATTTCAGCACCGTAACCTGGCATAACCATGCTTTGCGCAGTCATGTCCGTGCTGCAGAAAATTGCATGACTAAAAGTGACATGTGAACTGAATGGCACTTCGAGGTAGTCTGTAGCGAGCATGCAAGACATGGCCACTAGCGAATAGAGTCATCGCTGCTGCACCACACCACATGTTTGACGAGTTGAAGGTTTGCAAACGTATCACGCCGTCGTCACCACCAGTGCAGTCATGGACACGAACTTGCTTCTTGAATAGATAACCAGTATGTAACATTCCATTGTGTAGTGCTTGTGTCTCAGCCATGCTAAGACTGTGGCCATTCGTAATTCACTCAGATGTTGCAGGTTCGATCAGCTCGACGGAAACACGAATATCAAAAAGTATACACACGTATGTTTTTCACAAGGTCAAATTCATCAACGTGCCTAACATTTGCCGAATAAAAATTGCCATTTGCCATGTATCAGTGAAGTACCTGAGAAGTTAGCCAATCGAGGGTGTGCGGATTGCAGCTGTGACTGCAACTTTCGTCACTATAACCATTTCGATTCGCCATTCGAGCTTGAGCGCGTCATCGTTATGCGGCGCTCCATCTAGATTAATTGCACTGTATACAGTACACAGGAAAAGTTGAACGGTTATTTTGATCTCGCTGACGAAAATTACATGTAAATACAATCACAGTGACGATCGTGCAAAATTTTTAACGCTTGATGGGACGTGAAGTGCAACTCGCTCCTCGTGAGTTCACAGCTGATCTTTCCTAATCACTGTCAATTTTGGTGCGTGCTTTTACAGCCTTCTTCTTCCACTGAAAAGTTCTCGTCTTCACGAAGGTTTGTGCCAAACTTCCTGCTGAAAGCAATCTGAAGACTTTCTTCCACTGAACGACTCCGACCACTCCATGCCACCACGTTAACTGGGCCCGGAGAACATTTTGCTCTTTAACCATACAACAACAAAAAAATGTTTGCAGTGTTCTGTCAATAAGCGTACAAAAACAAGCGGTGAAGCGGCAATGGTCATTTTGAAAATCCCCACAAGCCTGCGCGACTTCCCACGTACACTGTACAACTAATGCGATGTAATGCACTTCATGTACAACTAATGTATTGACGATTGATGCATGCATAAAGAATGTATTTATATTCAACTAAAAAGGTCAGAAGATAACGATTAACAAATGTACGTAAATACGGAAAATATCGCGAGGGTGATATAAGTATGTTGTGGGCTATCATTGAAAGCACATTTCGCCACGTGGTTTTACTTCGCGTCTCGCTAAAACGTATCAGATTGATCTTGTCACGAAGGGCCCTACCGATTCAATGACGCAGGATATATTCAAAATCGTAGTGTTCGTTTCCGTTTCACGCGTAAATGATGAGGCTAGCACAGCCGAACAAAGGAGTAACAGCGTAGAGCTTTCATTGTGCCGCCTATTAGCAATCCTGGAAAGTACGCACCTAGATTGCGCCTGTTGTCGTGAAAATCCATGGACATTGTGAATGGTGTCCGTGTTTGCGCGTGTTCTCTCTTTTTGAGGGCCAGAACACAACCTTTTAAACCCAACTAACAAAAAAAAAGAGATAGAAAAATAGCAACAAGTGCTTCATTTCCTCTCGGTGTTTTACCTAGTTTTGTCAGACTTGATCAGGTCGAAGCCACCATTCACATAATGTGAATTTAGTATACACTTTCGAGTGTTCTTTGGACATGACATATAACTTGTTAATTGTCTCCCACCCTGCTTTTCAGTAAATTCACCTACCCGTTCTTCCTTGTCTCGCGTCACCATATGCCCATCATGGGCGATCACACAGATCACCCTCACATGCTGTCAATGGCTCCTCAGCCAAAAAGGAAAATCTGCGTACAATTTTTGATGGGAATTAGTGCTTGAATTGGCGCCTGGGAGGAGATAGGGGTGCATGGTTGGAGCAGAAATTGAGAAACTTGACTTTAAGGAAGTGGTGAATGGCGCTCACATGTGCGCTCTTCCTGCAGATGGTTTTGTGCTCTTCTACGCGCTTTGATCTCACCTCTGTGAACTGTAACCACTGATACGAGAAAATGCACAAAAACTACTTCTCTCCAGGGAGCGGCCGCATTCCCATGCACCAGCGTTACCTAGAGTTACGCGAGATAAGATCGTAAAGCTTGTATAACATTACATCACGTTACAATCGCAGTCACTGCTTCCGTCACTCTTTTGGTGAAAGAGTTGTTTTTGAAAACGCAAGCGAGAAAAGTTTCTCCATGCCAACTGCTGAATCAACCCCCTTTTACTCCAGCTCACGGTACGTTGCTGCCAATTCGGTGAGCTGCGCTAGCCCCGCGCCATTCATGCGCTACCATCAGAGGTGGAGACACCGGCACGTCACTGACGGCTAGTTTGGGACCGGCGCCCAAGTCTAGATAAGACACGACTGATGTATGGTGCACTGGTAGCTATTAACCTACCAGTCCACTATAACATCCCCCTCCTTGACCACGTTTTCGCGGGAAAAAATTCGTCCAAATATTTCTTGGACAGACAATGCTTTTTTTAATTAGGACATCTTATTAGCGAGCTTGATCCGGTGATCGCGCTCCATGGCGTATGCGCCGACTCCCTCTTCCACTCTCCTCTACGCAGGCGTTCGGTCGCCTTCTTTCAACTCCTACGCCCACGCTGCAGCCTATAAACCCACCGGCTCATCGGCCTGCACAAATTCAAATAAACGGATGCGCTCGGTCGCCTTCCATCATTCTCGCTAGACAATTAGCCGTGTCGCCAACGGACAGACTGAAATTAGCGCCTTTTTTTCTTTCCGCCAACAATCACCATATATATTCTGCCTTCGCTCGCTTTCAGGTGAGTTGTAACGTCAACGCCGGCACTGCAGTTGCAGCAGCACTCCAACTTCTGCCCAGATTGAGGTCGCCATGCAGAAGCAGCAGCGCAGGGCTCACGATGCTGATCGCAAACACCTGCGCATGGCAAGGTGATCCTCAACATCGGGCTAGGGAAGCGCAAGCCAAGCATTGGCGTCGAGCTACCGCTTCATAGACAACGCGAGTCTGCGGCGAGGGTTGCGAGGCTTTTGAGACAAGTCGCACTGACTAACAAAAGCGCCGAGTGGCGCCCTATCCTTGCCACAAATATTATATTAAGCTGTAAATGGAAACTTGGTGTGAACCCCTAATCCTGCTTCGTATTCCTTTATGGTTCCCTTTTGGGGGAGGGTGAGATAGTGTAATTTTGTTCCACGTGTAAAGGACTATTTCGTTAATCGGTAACAATTTCAAAGTTGAAGGATTCGTTTCACGCCCCAACCTATGGCGGCTTCCATAACGCCACTGAGCCATTCCGGAATAGAATTATCTTGTTTGCAGTTGTGTTAGTTTTTGTTTCAACATTTCTTTATTTACGTGGCTATCTATAAAATATTTGGTTGCCCCACAAAACAATGCCTCCAAGCGCTACAGTTGCCTCAAATAAATACAAAGAAAAATAAAATAAAGCATACGCCAATATAGTCAGTGATAGTTAATTCAAGGATGCATTTATTCTTACGTTGTACGAGCTGTAAGCTTTAAGCACTGGCATTTCTTTTCGCCTTTATAGAAGCACGCCAATCAAACATCACTAGCTCTGCTATGTTCTTGGTTGTAATATTTATGACGCCCGAAGAAGTTACTTAGTAGATGCAATATTCTATTTTGTATAATATAGCAATAAATTTGTGTAATCACTTAAGATGAGCTGTTTACGTGGAATGCATAGTACTGAGGTCTAGCTGCGAAATGTTCAACTAGCGCCCACTTCAATTGCACTTTGTGCACACTGATACACAACACTGTTTTCTACCTTTCAATGTAACGACCAAACCACGTACTTGTGTAGCTAAGGAAACCTAATCATATAGCTGGTAAAGCAAAGTGTGAATTTACTTACACCTTGATTGGATGCGCACAGAGTCATATGGGGTGCTTGGTTTCTGATAAAAGTGACGAAATGTTCCATTATATTTTATTTTGCGCCACCTATGAAAGTGGGAAGAACAATGCACTTGAGCACAAAGACTGACGCAGCGTGAGTTGTGAAACTGGCTTACCTTGCGTATTTTACTTTTGTCCGGTAGAAGATAATGTTGTGTTGACTAATATTCACTTTTAGGTCAGCCTTGCATAGATGTGCCTCCGAGGATGTGGTAAGAGCAGTCCATATAAGTTCACTTGTGTTCCAAAACTGTGAAACAAGATCGATACATGCAGTTTGTTCAGTAGATGGTATTGTAACAGCAGAGGTGCAGTATAACTTGCAGACCCAATATTAGGTACACTTGAAATAAATAAAATAATTCATGGGTAACTTTCCTAATGAGCTTACCAACTTGACTAGTGCTGTGCGTCATAAAGCCCCGGGGAGCATTCAAAATAATCAGATAATTCATGATAGCACAAAATTTTCGTGATGTTATATGCCAAGATTCACACGTGGACTGGCAAGTGCCTCAATAATAAAACACGAAAAATAATAAATGATACGTAAATCATCAAATTTATTTTATACACATAAACAGAAGAAATTTGTCCACGAGGTAAGGTAAAAGGACACTCATATGTTTCCTGACAAGGCCTTTTTCCCGAACACACATGCCTGACAGGAGAAGCAAACAAAAGGAGAAAAACATGTCAAATTGTAGAAATAAACTCCTTATTGGGTATTATGCTGATAATATCATTATAAAAGAAACACTGACTTGAATAGAAGGAAAGAGTTTTTACAAACTGTTGCAGCGAAAATAAATTCACATATAATACATAGCATTAGATAAGCATTCGCATTTCGCGATACATCATTACAAACTTACATACTTGTAGGAGACATGAGAATAAGTTTTACTTGTTTTTCTAAAATAAGAAATACATGTGGTTTTTTTGGCCAGTTTGAATAAGAATGGGTGTGCATTACACAACGAAATTATTTTGTGGTCCATTGTTTTAGGGCATTAGTTAAACCACTGAGCTAAATGGCTTAGCTAATCTTACCCTGCTTGTAAGAAACTGGAATGGCTCTTGTGGTGTTGCCCAGTGATTTATGCAAGCCGGTGCTATTAAACGTTACTGTTTAGAACAGCCATATCAACCAGCTACGTCAGGGCAAAAAAATTCTATCCTAATGCTTGATCTGTATTTATGTAAGCAGTGAAGCAGTGCAAATGATTGTTGTCATTACATTCGTGTTTTGTTCAAAGAAGCTATACTCTGTGTTAACTTTAGTTTCTTGAAAGGACACATAATCTTGTAGTTCGTCTTGTCATTCGCGACAAGCAGTTTAGGGAAAGATAAATAAATACAAAATATCGCATACTCGTTTTCTAAGAATCAAATTTTCTTGAATAGCTAGTCTGCCTTAGGAAACTGGAACATATATGTGCTTGTGAATAATAGGCCGACTCGGCACCTGAACTCATGATGTGTAACAACAATTTTCGAAACGGCCGATCCTCTAGTTTGTGCTTATATAACTCTATGGCTATAAATTTGTTCTGTGTGTATTGGGTATACTGACTGTCTCAATAAATGTTATATGCGAGAAACAGGCTTTTTGTGTAGCAACACATGCCCCATAAAATCGGACCATTTTGTCTTTCGGCTTGCACCGGAGGACGAGCCAGCACAATAAACATGAATAACATAGTTGTGACAATGGGAAGAGTGCGAATGTCATTCTTAGAGTGGAAAAACTGGATCACAGCGGAACACTGCTCTGCTGTTTTCGAGGGGCCGTAAAAGATAAACTCAAGACCCAGGAAACGCAAGAACCAATAAAGAAGAAACGAAAAACGAAAGCATTTACTGCCACAGAATTTCTACTTACGCTTGATAAAACCATCACTTGGTGAGTTTATTTGTGCCAGAGTATCAATGAAACCTTTGCTAACACTTCCAGTGGCGTGTTCTTTTCGATGAATATTGTGCCACCACAACCCACACTTTGCAAGCGATCACCTTCGGCAATACCTGTGTGAGACTATCGCCGCTTGCGAAGTCGTTTCCGAATGATCAAGAAGCACTGTCGGTTAAATGTTTGAGCACAGTGGCTTCGAATGCTTCAAAAAATTGTAACTACTCTGAAAGTGACTGCCAGTGCACAATCAGCTACGATATAGTTCACAGACAGAACCACAGAGCTGTGAAGGGCGTCATGCAAAAAAAAATGCATTCGACATACTTGACTATTTTCACCAACAGTGTAGGTATGAAAGAAATCAGCACAGCCAGCGCAACTAGTGGGGGTGTGAGCGGCGCGAATTCTAACTGCTCAAATAAACACGATGATGACGAGCCCATGCCTCGTCGATGGCAAAAGTAACACCAATTGAGGACTTATTTTGGCGAGTACTTAGGCCATAGAAAAAATCATTGCGATACGGTTCTCGAACGCTATGCTTTTGGTAACATAAACGGTAAGTACGCCTCTTTCGCCTCTCATGCGGCCAACCTTGCTGTCAAATGAGGCCAAACTGCATGAACAGGTAATGTACACCCTCTTATTTTGTGATATCTTGGCCGACTTGGAGCGCCGTTTGCGACGCACCTCAAGGGACGTTTTCTCACCTAAGAAAAAGCGGGAGGGTTTTCAATACATTGAAGCCTAAGGAAGATAAGGACGGACCAGTGGACGTAACGACCGGGTAAACGCGTGAGAGAAAAACGTAGCAGCGGGGCTCTCGTCTATTTTAGAATATTTGAAAGATTTTGAAGGTTTTACATGCTGCATCTGTTACTGCATAAGTTTTTCAGTACGGTAATCTTGCACAAAAAATTCTAGGCCATATAAAACATGCGCAATTATCAATGTCAGTTTTCGCTGCTCACCTGAACTATATCTTCTTCACTACTTTGTCTTTCACCTCGAGCAAGCGCCGTTGTCACCAACAAGAAATAAACTCTCAAAATACCACGTGGCTCTGTCATTTTGTATTCTGCACAAAATTTTCACATCGACACTCGGATACTGTCAGGGTATATGAAGACAGCTCACGCTGCTGAACGAACATGAAAGAGCAACCTTTTTAAGGAAACTATCAGAAAGTGCACACAACTTTTAACACGTTTCTCGCACATATAAGGGAATTACATGTGGTTTTAGCTGTACGAGAAACTTTACTGACAAGCACGCTTAATAATTGTCCTCTTTCGATGTGACTGTCGTCACTTACAACTATTGAATAAAGGCTATGAGTACTTACGACATTTTCGTCGGGAGACATTTATCACGAACACACAATCATCAAATACGCGAGGCTGTATTTCTGGAAGCTTTAGACAGAACTTATATGAAGAATACCTCGGCGATATTTTAGATGCACTATGATGATGATGAATAAAACTTTATTTTTGTGTAAGTCAGTTTTTTGTAAACACGTAACCGTCGGTAGATTGTTGCCGTGAACAGTCAAAAATTAGTGCAAGACAACTTCCAAGCAGCATAGAAGACATTTTGCTGAATCGCAAACTCAACAGTTATGGCGTAGTGGCCACTGTGCAAAAAGACTTCTTTTATGCATTGTGGATACTTCGACGCAGCTGACGTCAGCTGTAGAGACGTTTGTTCCCTTCCAGCAATGTTGAGATGTCCACCGAAAAGAGAAATGAGGCTATCAATTGAGAAAGTGAAACGAATAGCACCCGATCACGTTATCACGTTTTAGCGTTAAGGTAATGCTCAAGCGTCCACTAACTTTTTGACACGAAAGTTTTTCCGTACCAGCATTTAAAAAAGTATGACTATGCTGGTGTCATTCCCTTCACTGATGTTAGTATCAAAAATGCACATGAAGCGGTGACAACAAAACACACACAACAAAAAACTTCATTAGCTGCATAACGAACTAGCGATGCCTTGTTCGCAAAGATAGCAGATGGGTACTCTTGTCACTGCGCGAAAGTTGTGTGCGAAGCCTTAAAACATGCGTTATTTGTATCGCTTCTCCATTGTATGGTCACCCTGTTTGGCAGGATTGCGATGTTTGGGAGCGGAGACCTCAAGTACTGCACCGCGACACCACCTAGGGTCGAAAGCCTAAGCTTGGGTAGTCTAGGAATTCGTGCTACACGTTTAAAACTTATGCGGTGTATACTACGGTGCGGCTGAGGTATGCTGTTGGCATCTCACCATTCTACGGCAGCGCGGATGACAGACCCGGGACGCTGGCCATAAATGATGGGACGGCGCCATTACCCCCCCCCCCCTTCAAAGTGTGCTGCAACACAGTCTACATGGTACCTTTTAGGTATCTATATAAAATTGCGTGTACTCATGTATATGCCCTTTTTGATAGGTGACATGCTCTAAACCACCAGCAATTACGTGCGTGATACTTTTTAGAAGTTGTGGTCACCCACTACATGGTCATAAGGAATTACGCGCAGTAACGTCGACCGTTTCGTAGTGATTAACAGGCTTTGAAGCTCGAACAAGCTATTGTATTCAAATGTTGATTGATTGATTGATTGATTGAACGTTTATTATCATTTGTCAAATGAGGTTTACAAACACTGATTGGACCCATAGCCTGAGGCTAGTGTAGGGTCCAATGAGAAAAGTATTGGACAGAAGCGGAAAATATCAATTACACATAATACATATGTAGCTATACAGACACTGTAAATATACACATATACAGAGTAGAGAAGTCTTTCTCTTAAACAATCTGGTCACACCAAACAAAACTGCATGTGCGCATACAAAAATGTTGTGTGAAAGCCGAAAGCAATAGAAGCTTGGACCACGTTTTGCTAGGATAAGACATCTCGTAATGTGTTTCCTGTACAAATAACGCATTTACTGAGCATGCAAGTTGCCTTAGTAAGTTTTACAGCATTTACGCGGCACTGTGGTTGAATACCTGCTTGGAACATTGGTTTCCCTCGGTTACAGGTATACGAAGTTCTTTTTAGTACTTGTGTTCAAGGTCCTTTCTTTTTGCTTATGGACAATCAGGGATTTTTCGCCTACAACCAATGACGCTCAACGCAGAATTTTGCGATGTAGGCTTTTTACAGCTATTGCGTCAAAAACAGCGCAAAATTCATCATCATCATCATCAGCCTGACTACGTTCACTGCAGGACAAAGGCCTCTCCTATGTTCCGCCAGTTAACCCGGCCCTGTGCTCGCTGCTCCAATATATGCCCGCAAACTTCTTAATCTCATCTGCCCACCTAACCCTCTGTCTCCACCTAACCCCCTTGCCTTCTCTGGGAATCCAGTAAGTTAGCCTTAATGACCAGCGGTTATCCTGTCTACGCGCTACATGCCCGGCCCATGTCCCTTTCCTCTTCTTGATTTCAACTATGATATCCTTACACCCGTCTGTTCCCTAATCCACTCTGCTCTCTTCTTGTCTCTTAAGGTTACACCTAACATTTTTCTTTCCATTGCTCGCGGCTCCGTCCTCAATTTAAGCTGAACCCTCTTTGTAAGTCTCCAGGTTTCTGCTCCGTAGCTAAGTACCGGCAAGATACAGCAGTTATATACCCTCCTCTTGAGGGAGAGTGGCAATCTACCTGTCATAATTTGAGAGTGCCTGCCAAATGTGCTCCACCCCATTCTTATTCATCTAGTTAATTCAATCTCATGGTTCGGCTCCGCGGTTATTACCTGCCCTAAGTAGACATAGTCTTTCACAACTTGAAGTGCACTATTGCCTATCTCGAAGCGCTGCTTTTTTCCGAGGTTGTTGTACATTACTTTCGTTTTCTGCAGATTAATTTTAAGACCAACCTTTCGGTTCTCCTTGTCTAACTCCGTAACCACAAGTTTAAATTTGTTCCCTGAGTTGCTCAGCCATGCAATGTCATCAGCGAAATGCAGGTTACTAAGGTACTCTCCATTAACTCTTATCCCTATCTGTTCCCATTCTTGGCTTCTGAAAGCCTCCTGTAAGCACGCGGTAAATATCATTGGGGAGATCGTGTCCCCGTGCCTTACACCTTTCTTGATTAGTATTCTGTCACTTTCTTTATGGAGCACAATGGCGGCAGTTGATCCCCTGTAGATTTCTTCCAGAATATTTATCTATACTTCATCGACGCCCTGGTTCCGCAGTGTCTGCATGACGGCTGATATTTCTACTGAATCAATCGCCTTCTCGTGATCTATGAAGGCTATTTATAGTGGTTGGTTATATTCTGAGCATTTCTCTATTACCTGATTGATAGTATGAATGTGGTCGATTGTTGAGTAGCAGGTTCGAAAACCTGCTTGTTTCATTGGTTGATTGAATTCTAACGTTTTCATTACTCTGTTTGCAATTACCTTTGTAAATAACTTGTATACTACAGAGGGCAAGCTGATCGGCCTGTAATTCTTCAAGTACTTGTCCTCTCCTTTCTTATATATTAAGCTGATGTTAGCGTTCTTCCAAGACTCTGCTACACTTCCCGTCAGGAGGCACCTCGTAAACAGGATGGCTAGTTTTTCGAACACAATCTGTCCTCCATCTTTCAGCAGATCTGATGTTACCTGATCCTCACCAGCAGCTTTGCGTCTTTGCATGCTCTCCGAAGCTTTTCAGACTTCTTCTATCATTACTGGTGGGGTGTCATCTGGGTTAGTGCTAGTTCTTTTAATATTAGGTCATGGTTGTCCTGGCTACTGTACAGATCTCTGTAAAACTCCTCTGCTATTTTAACTATCAATTATATTGGTAGTTATTTTGCCTTCTTTGTCCCTTAGTGCATACATCCGATTTTGGCCTATCCCAAGTTTCCTCTTCACTGCTTTGACGCTTCCTCCGTTTTTCAGAGCGTATTCAATTCTCTCTATGTTATACCTACTTACATCGCATACCTTACGCCTAATAATCAACTTCGAAAGCTCGGCCGGTTCTATTTTGTGTTTGTATTTTAGACTTTTATAATTTGACGCTTCCTAATAAGATTCTTCGTCTCCTGGGAAAGCTTACCAGTGTCCTGTCTAACTACCCTGCCTCCAACTTCCACTGCACACTCTGTAATAATACTCATCAGATTATCAATCATTGTATCTACGCTAAGGTTTTTTTCCTCACTAAGAGCCGAGTACCTGTTCTGAAGCGACACTCTGAATTCCTATGCTTTCCCTCTCAGTGCTAGCTCATTGATTGGCTTCTTGCGTATCAGTTTCTGTCGTTCCTGCTTCAAGTTTAGGTGAATTCGAGACCATAGCATTCTATGGTCACTGCATCGTACCTTGCCAACCACTTCCACATCCTGCAAGATGCCTCGGTGTTCACTCAATATAAAGTATATTTCGTTCTTATTTTCGCCATTAGGGCTCCTTCATGTCCACTTGCGGTTTCCTCGTTTTCGGTAGAAATTATTCCAAATTCGTAAATTATTGCGTTCTGCGAATTCTACTAGTAGCTCTCCTCTGGCGTTTGTAGTACCAATGCCATAATCTCCTACTGCCTGGTCTCCAGCCTGCTTTTTGCTACTTTTCCATTAAAGTCTCCCATCACTATAGTATACTGTGTTTTTAACTTACGCATTGCCGATTCCACATCTTCATAGAAGCTTTTACCTGAAGCGTCATCATGGCTGGATGTACGCGCGTAAGCTTGCACCACCTTCGTCTTGTATCTTTTATTCAGCTTAATTACGATACCTACCACCTTTTCATTAATGCTGTGGTATTCCTCTATGTCGCAACTATGTTTCTGCGAATTAGGAACACCACTCCTAGTTTTTAGCTTTTCTCTGTGTGCTAAGCCCCAATAGCAAAGGACGTGCCCATTCTGTAGCACCGTATAGGCTTCATCTGTCCTCCTAACCTCGCTGAGCCCTATTATATCCCATTTAACACCCTCTAGCTCCTCGAATAGTACAGTCAGACTTCCCTTACCAGATAAGGTTTTAGCGTTAATTGTTGCCAAGTTCAAGTTCCAATGGCGGCCTGTACGGATCAAGAGATTCTTAGCACCCTCTGCTGCGTTGCAGAACTGACCGCCGCCGTGGTCAGTTGCTTCGCAGCTGCTGGGGACTCAGGGCCTTGAGTTATT